GTCATGCAGTATTTGCATGAGAGACAAATGAATTTCACTGGCACGCATTTTTCAGATGTACATTGGCTATCAAAAGTATTCACCCCCCTTGGACTTCAATATAATATATTGAATCAGAATATATTTTACTGGGAGTTTTTGCCATTGATGAACCGAAAGCACTCTATAATGTCAGTGAAAACGATTCTACAGACCCCCCCCAAAATTAATTATAATTATAAAACAGATATACTAATACAGTATGCATTCACAACCCTTTGAGTCAGTGTTTGGTAGAGGCATGTTTGGCAGAAATTACAGTATGAGTCAGCAGAGATAACTTTCTACCAGCTTTGAACACTGCAATTGTTGCCCATTCTTCTTTGCAGATTCTCTCGGGCTGAAGGGTAGAATTCGGTGAATAGTACTTTTCAACACCTGCCACAGATCCGTGATTGGATTGAGGTCTGTGCTTTCACTGGGCCACTCCATAAAATTGCCGTTTTCTTTTTAATCCACTCCAGTGTGGCTTCGGCTGTATGTTTTTGGGTCCTACTGCAAAAAGAATCTTCTCCCAAGTTCCTTGTATCTTGTAGACTGTGGCAGGCTTTCCTTATGGATTTTCTCTGTACTTTGCTGCATTCATTTTTCCTTCTATCTTCACAAGTCTTCCAGGCCCTGATGCAATGAAGCTTCCCCATAACATGATACTGGTACCACCAGGTTTCACAGTAGAGATGATGTTCTCAAGATGATGCTCACTGTTATGCTTGCACCAAACATGACACTTACCATTGAGGCCAAAAAGGTCAAATATTAGTTCTCAGACCATAGAATCTTCATCAACTTGGTTGCAGTCTTCCACAGGCCTTCTGCCAAAGTATAGTCAAGATTTGATTTATTTTTTCACTCTCCCATGAAGCCTAAATTTGAGATGCACACAAGCGGTTGTCATAAGCACAGTTTCTTCCATTTCAGCCACGAAGGACTGTAATTCCTTTAGAGCTGTCATAGACCTCTTGGTGGCCTCCCTGTCTAGTTTGCTTGGATACTCAGTTTTGAGGATACCAAGTTCTTCACAGTGCCATATTTTCTACATTTGGACTTTACTGTGCTTTGGGGCATATGTAATGCCTTGGATTTTATATACCTTACCTTGATTGGTGCTTTTCAATAACCCTATCCCAGATTTTCTTTGAAAGTTCCTTTGTCTTCATGATGCAGTTTTTGTTTTGAGCTGTATAAATCAACTGTGGAACCTGCCAGAAATGGGTATATTTAACGTGAACACGTCCATTCCACAAATTATGTGACTTCTGGTGTAATTAAATGTCTTGAGGCGTGTTTCATAGTAAAAGGAGGTGAATTTTCATGCAATCACTTATTTTCTGTTTTCTGTTTGTTTAGGAGAATTCTGCTTTCAATTTGACATTATAGAGTGTTTTGTGTTGATCAATAGGAAACAATTCCAAATAAATACATTGCGGTTCTATATTATAACACAGACAAATGTGAAAAGTCCAAGGAGGATGAATACTTTTGATAGCCACTTTAAACTAGTGTACAAAAGAGACAACCACAGCAGACCTCGAACTTTCTTATTCAGGTTATTTGGGTATACAGCTCATACAACTCTCTCAATTGAGTTAATCAGAATTGTACCAGACCTTAAAGAAACCCCATGATTGTTTTCTTGTGAAAGAATGTGCGTGTTCCTTATTTCAAGACTGTTGCCAGGGAGGCTTTGGTATTCAGCATGCAGTGTCAACTAGTTTTATTTCAACTCCCTGCTTGTATCAATGCTGAAATAATGAACTTTGTGCAGTTTGACTTTAATTTGCTTGGCTTGGTTCTTTGAGGCTGCAAGCAGAGATGTGACTTGAGGGCAGTAATAGTTCTTTCTAGAGTGTAGGCGTCAATTACGCATTTCATTTTCTGGTGTGGCAAGGAAAAGGTTTACCTCTGCAAAACTGCTTTCAGACAGTGTGCAGTGTCCACTGGTCTTTTGACATTTGTTTCAGATTTAGCTTATTAACTTAATTATATGCAAAGTGGGAAGCATTTGATTGTTTTCATTGCCTCATTCAGCTGATGGCTAATAGGACGCCATGAAAAAGGTTACATACCAGCACTGCATGCTAATTTTTCTGTATACCTGTGCCGAGATTCTTCTACTGTACAATCAAGTAAATTGCTTTAATTAAAAATGATTTTTATGTGATTAGGTCATGCAATAAAAACACACACACCCTGCGTATTCCTTATCAGATGAGCTGGTCCCATTCATTTCTTCCCCCAAACTGCTGAAGAAATATTACAAACTATTGTGATTTGTCTGTAATTTTAAGTTTCAGTACCTTCTTTTTTTCCTCTCATTCTAATCCCCTTGAACAAAACACAAATTTAAAAGTTTTGTTAAGCTCAGCTGGTTGATAAATGACAATTGATTTAAATTGTAGAACCTAGAAACGAGGGACTAGATCGTGCTGTATTGTCGACGAGAAGGATGTACAGATTTGTTTGAATTCTCAAATGACCTGAGCAGTTTTTTAAACTGGCCCAGTTAGGCCAGTAAGGTAGTTGGAATGTGCAATTGATAGCTGCAGTGGAATTTATACTAGACACAGGAGCACTTAAAGATCAGAATTGGATAGCCTCTGCAGATTCATCTGGGGCTTGGCGAGAGTTTGTAAAGCTATCCAGTTACTCAGAAAAGTAGACTGATCATGTAACTGAAAGCTTGGGTTGAGTGAAAGCACTGCAACAGACAGTGCAACCACTGTGTTGTGACAGTGAAGACTGCTTTTTTGTTCTGTTAACTCTGAAGCTTGATAAGGGTATTACCAACTGCTATGATAACACAGCTACACTTTTTTAAAGTACTATCACACAAAAGAGTCAAGAACATACAGTAATAAGGTTATTATGGTTATTATGGGGTTCAGGGATAAAGTCCTGGCCGATCTTTGAAAAAACAGCTTGTTCCGCTTTGTGCTGCATGTGGATAAGCAGCCTTTGGTCATCTAATTTACAACCCCATAGCAGAAGTGTTTTTTTTTTCTACAGCTAGCATTTGAGATGACAGCTATAGAACAGCCCTGTGATATCATTTTATTTATTATTGTTACTATTAAGAAATATTGCATTGCTGTCATCCAGAAACGAATACACTATAATAATATTTTCTAATCTGACCTCTGAACCTTGCCATGCTTCCCACAGAACACTTCCTCTTTACAATCATTCAGATCCCCGTTTCTGACACGGTCTGAAACAAGTTCTTGTCTGCCATCCTCTTGGATTGTATAAACCATTTATTTTACAAATTCATAATGTAGTTTATTTTGTGAAATTCAAAGGTGTTATTCTGTAATTAAACTGTTGGGATTAATTTGTCTCAATTCAGAATAATTTTCATAATCGGGTCACAGCGGATGGCTAAATTGCAGAACTGAAACCGCTGAAACCTGTTTCTGTCAATGAATCAATGTTTCTGTACTAAAGACTGTAAACTGCAAGTGTAGCACAGATGCATTATAATTACAGTGCTTTTATACATGGAAAAAAATGTTCCTAGAAAAAAATCTCATTACATATGTGATGTCAACTGTGTGTGTTTTTGCAGGTTTTGGAGCTGATACGTCCTTTCCATGATGCTACAGATTTGTTTAGAAACAAATGGAAATTGTACCATACCCTGCTGTGCTACGGGCTGCTTGCTTTCAGAAGTAATTTATCATTGAACATCTTATTGATGCTTCAGAGAGGATAGTTGATACAATAGTCAAGGTTCTATTTATCCAGTCATTTCTGTTACCTACACAGTTTCTGTGGTGACACCCAGCCATGTTTTTATCACTCTGCTGCTTGATTACTATGAAGTAGGGAAATTTGTAGAAGTGAGGTGTGAGTGTCTTTTCTTAGTCTATAGCTGTATATACTGTATATATCAGACATTTACATATTCAGGATGTTTAACCAGTTGGACAGTCCTCACATACAATAGTTCTTGATTATATCTCTTCTCTTTCCCACACCTGCGTGAGACTCAATAGGAGCATCAGTATTATTTTGCTTAACTGAGCTGACAGTAGGATTTTGTCATTCGTGCGGTACTGCGGTCTGAAATAAAGGGATATGCATTTTAAAAAGCTAGTCGCCCCTGAGCCCTTGGTAACTTCAGAAGAGCTTTCCAATCCAGAGTTTAGACAAGTAGTACTTTGATGTTTCTAAGGAAGATTGACTCACTGCATTCATTGGTCTGTGCCTTGAAAATGTGTGTTCAGGAATGTAATAAAGTTTGTGCCATGTTATACATTCACTCTTCCACTCATTCTCTCTTTTCTGTTGTTTTAATTACACATTTCTGCTTGCACATAAGATGAAAAATAGAGATTGAGGATATAAGAATCACTTGTGTAGCTTTTTTTAAACTGTGTGTGCAGTGTATCTGGAAGTTGTCTATGGAATTTCAGAGTGCAAATACTTCCCAGAAAATCTCCCACTTGCTTGTGTATTGTCCCTTGTGGGCTCCAGGCTGCTCTGGAATCCTCTCAGTCATCGCCCCTGGGTGTTGTGGCTTCCTTCTCTCAGCCTTGAGCTTGTGCTGTCTGGGATTGCCAGCGTCAAGGCTCTCCTATTTTAAACCTACGGTGCAGCACTGCTGATTGGCTACTGTTCACAACACTAAGGAGGTTTTTATAAGGGATTCCACTTTTACTTGGAGTATGTAGTAAAGCCCTATTTTACACGTTTTGAGTATTAGTTAAAAAACAAATCTCGTAGTTTTCTTCAGAAATGCAGCAGAGGACATAAAGGCATGGTTTTGCAGTTGTTTTGGGAGACTTACCCTGGTCATTTCTCATCTCCTTTGTTTGGTTTATGATTTCTCGGGTTCTTCAGAGTCTTTTTAGGGAGGCCAAAGTTAGACTTTAAAAATGCCAGCTCCACTGTGATGTTTATTCAGTTCTTTCTCTTTTAGTTTTTTTAGAAGCCTGTTGCTGATTTCTTTCTCCTCACAGAACCGGTAACAGTCTTGGAGCAGAACCGGAAGGATCTCAGAGGGAGATGGCGGGCAAGATCTCGAAGGACGAGCTCGAGGAGCTAAGGGAGGCTTTTGAAAAAGTTGGTGGGTGTCTCTCAGCCTTTGACTAATTGTGGATTCCTGCCTCAGTACAGCCTTGAACCTAAAAATTCCTGCTCACACCCTACAATCTTTGCCTTCTAGCGTAGGTTTATCTGTATGAGCAGGTCTTCTGATTAGAAAGCATCTTAAATATATCTAACAAATTCTGATTGTTCCTGCTTGGCTCTGTATCATAGACTTTTTGATTAAAACCCAGTTGAAATTTTCATCTGGTTATTTGGCTTCAAATTTGATGGTTGAATCAGTTTCTATTGGAACTGAAACATATTTTAAATACTGCTAGTTTCCTGTGTTTCTGAGCTTTCTGATTTTTTTTGTCGCAACTGCAGCCATTTTAGGCCATGATGATAATTTCCCTTTTCCTCCATTGCAAATGGGACTAATTAAGAAGGGTTCCAAACAAGAGGAGGCCAATCGACCCATCTGGCCTTTTTGGTACTTAGTAGCTTATTGATAATTGATTAATTATCAACTTCAGTTACATTGCTGGGTAGCTTGTCCATACAATCCTTAGATAAAAACTTGCCTCTTATTCTCAGTTCATGCACTTCCGTGAAGCTTCCTCTTGTTTCCATTCCTTTGAATGGCCTTCTTTTCAGCAACTGGCAGCCTTGATAGTCTGTAAATTGTTGAGCTTTGTTTGATAGCTGTATTAAAACAGGAAGACACAGAAATGGTTGTAACTACAGTCTACCGGGAGCTGATATGTTCCCTACTGTGGTAATCAGATGCTAAATGGCTCGATTAAGAGCAAGTTAATTGTTACGTCTAAGAGGACTTAATTTCTTTAGTATTTTTAGATTACCATAGTTCTTGCTTAACATTTGCCTCTTTTTGTTTTAAAGTAGAAAGTTTAATTCCCCTCTCTGCTTCAACTCCATTTTGTCATTCATTTTTTATTAGAATTAATTAAAATTAGCTGAGCTCATTTATACAAGCATTTGAGTGATTACTTACTGCAGTGTCCTGAATCAGACACATGGCAACGGAGACTTCAAATAGATTACTGCATTAACTGATAAAGGTAGCACATTTATTTTCTCTTAAATTGGGTTCTTTTTTTACAAGGATGGCCTAATCATTTGATGTCTATCAGCCCAGGAAAATCACACAACCAATTTTTGAACGATTATAGAGTGTCAGTTTCCAGAAATATGATTTGATATTATTAATTTTATTTTATATCCATTAACTCTACACACAAATAAAATATTTAGAAGTAATACATTAATGTGTTATATTTACTATCTCTTTTACCATGAACAAAAATGTTATTTAGATAAAACAAAGAATTTTATTACTCCTCTTTAGATCATTATTCAAGCAAGGCATGATTTACACCCTTTTTGGTATCCAGAAAAAACTTGCTATAGCAGGGGTCTGCTACCCTGTACCTCCAGAGCTCAAGTCCGGTTTATACAGGCCACCCAGAATCATCTTTTTTTTTTTTTTTAAATTTAGGTACATTTGAGAGTTGCTTATCCATTTAATTTTTTTTTTTCAATTAAGGGAACTCAGGTTTTAGATGGCTAAAGGATATTTATTTAAAAAGAAAATCACCTGTTCTAACTGATCAGTTAAGTTGTTTGAGACCTTTTGAAATGACTGATCTAAGGGCTACATATAAAACCTGCTGAATAGAGTTGTAGTGGTACACTTTTGGAGGGCTAATTCATTCGATTTTAAGTAAATACTTAAATACTTACTTCCTATTATCCAGGAGTCTGCAGAAGCTGTCTTGGGTACACACCTGGCCCTTCTGGTTTTTGATTAAGCTCTGCCTCAAATGAACAAATATTTTAAAAAAGGCATGATAAAATTGTCCAGATCTCCTCTCATTGAGTTTTTAAAGTTAGGTTTAATGATCCAGACTCTGCAAAACAGTGTGCGGCAGCAATTATCATTCTCAGAAACAAGTCGAAATCACCTCCTTATGTCAGTGTTAATACCAAGACATATTAACCCTGGAAGGAAAGAAATTTAAGCAGAAAAAAAACCTGGGGCATATATAGTACCTTGTACAGGTCTCATAGATTAAAATCTAAAATGCACATTTCTGTGAGCATTCTGTTTGGTTTATTTTATCATTGTTTCATTGTAGATCTCAATGGGAATGGCTACATCTGTGACTATGAGCTACACGAACTATTCAAGGAGGCTAATCTTCCTCTCCCTGGCTACAAAGTGCGGGAAATAATTCAGAGGCTTATGGAGGAGGGCGACAAAGACAAGGATAACAGGATCAGCTTTGATGAGTTTGTTTCTGTAAGTATATTGATATTGAGGAAAATGTTTGTTAAAGGGTGAAATAAGTGACCTGTATTTTAGGAAGCACATTATTTTTTATTTTATGCTATGAAACCTGGCAAAGTGTATGTATAATGTGTCATTAGATTCAATGCAGAAAGTCAATAACTGTTACACTCTCAATTGATTGTCCTAAGGCAGACCAGTACAACAGTCAGTAAATTTGGGTCATAGGTCTAAAAAGTAAGATATGCACTGCTAGCATTCTAATTGTTATGAGTCATTGGGGCATGATGTTATTACATATTAGCCACATATTTGCAGGATTGTTTTTCAGTAGTACACACTGGTGAAATACACAGTTCAGCAGTACTGGGTTTGTGAATATACAGATTGGAACAAATGTCTTGACATTTTTTCTCCTCTTCATTTTACACCTGCTGAAGGTTATAGTGTAATAAAACTGATTTTGTTGAAATGCCCCTTTGACTCTTAAGATTCAATTTTAATTCTTGATTTAATCACAAGTGTGTTCTTAAATACTTGTTTGGGTGGCTCTTTTGTGTTCATGTTGTTCATTTGTATTTCAGTGTGTTTGTAATCTTATTTGGTTTATAGTTTAAAAAGTTTGCTTTAACTCCCAAAGACAAAGCTCTGTTGCAGTAGTATATAAACTGAAAGCCCAGCTTGTATCCCAATTGTACTGTAGATGTTACACTGATTTTCCAAGCATTAAAGCCCTCTTTTTTATGACATTTTCTCCTTTGACAATAAAGATTATCTAAGAACGTAGTTTCCACATTCACCTAAATGTGAAAAGTATATGATGGGGATTTTACAGTTCATTTCAGCTATGCTTTAAAGAGAGAATGTGTCATTTATCTTCAAAAAGTAGTCGACCCATTGTTCCTGAATGTTCAGATGTTTCTTAGTGTTATTACAGGGCTTCAGCTGTACCATAAACACAGTTGTCATTTGTTTTTGTACTAGACAGTGAACCAGACAAACTTGTGTGAGGTGGGGTTTTATTGTTGCTGTGGCATAGTGTAATTCACAACCCATTCCATATGGCTTAGCAAATCATTGCTGCACTGTGGTTCATTGGTATTTCAAGAAGGTCACAATTAATTTTCTTAACTGCTGCTGAAAACACTTGCAACATAAATTTCAGATTATTTCTTAAACCTCTTTTCAAAAACATACTACAGTATAAGCACTGTGTATCCTAGATGAATTTATAACAAATCCGTTGTTGGAATGGATCCTACCAGACTTCAGCAGCTGGTGAAATCAGCTTTCTTGTAAACTTTACTTTACTATTACAGAAACAGCAGGATAATTAAAAAGGATGCACACTGTAATGTTAAGGGGAGTTATTTACCGAATGATAGTGAGCATTCTCAATTTCCTTGTCTTCTGCAGGCCTTTTATCAAGAAATTGCTTTCAGTTTGCATCTTTAATTTCAGCATACAATTGTGTATTATAAATAAGGATAGTGTTTTAAGAGCATACATCATAACTAAATACAGGTTAACACCTTAAATGTACTAGATACTTAAATGTAATCACAGACTCCAAGATATTGTAGAGGTGGTGCATTCTGTGGCTTGAGTATATAGGCCAACATCTAACACCAACATAACACTAGCTAGGGTTGGGAATACACAGTAGGGCAACATCAACTGACAGCCCTTCAAAACTTAGTAAGATGAAAGCTGTATGCTGAAATAATCTTAAAACCTGATGGCAACAACAAAGCCAGAACAGGAGTAAATGCCTTATAATTATTATGGACTTAAGCATTTATTGCTTACTGGAACAAACCAAACTAATTCAGCTTTCAGAATGCATCGATACTGTTGCTTTATGTTAATTAAAATCCATGGCTGAGTGCTACATGACTGCTCCCCATTAAAGCCCAATCAACTGCACATTTCTATGGTGTTTTATTTCCATAGCAAACTTGATTTATTATATATAAGCCTGACAAGTTGAATATAGTTCAGGTGGGTAGCTGCGTCAGCATGCGTAGGCTACCAAGGAGCAAGTAATAGGTTTATTCCATGCTGAAAAGAGAAGAAAGAAAACACAATGTTTCGGCCGTGGAGCCTTCTTTAGGTGAATATAGTACAATGTCTAGGGGGGAGGATAAGAAATACTGGATTAGTCCTGTGAGTGATACTATGCTTCACATGGGTCCTTCAGATTCATAGTACAGGACCTTCTATAGGGAGTGGAGAAGGCAAAGACACAGGTAGAGAATGTTTGATCTTAAAGAATTAGTGCCCCAGAGGGCAAAGCTAATTCAGTTCTTTCTCTACTGAGCCTTAGTTGGCAAGGAGTCACTATTATTCATCTTAAGGAAGTGATGCAAATCAACCTCATAGAGTTTTTTCTCTTTAATCCCTTGTAGTCAGGTTACAAATTTTCCTTTCTACGCCTATAAGGCTGTTGGCGAAGTTTGCAAACGTATCATTAGCACTGAAACGGGCAGAATGTCCTGTGTAAAGTACAGCACTCCAGACAAGCTGTTTTGAAATTTTATATTTATATTTTTAGGGTTTACAAATTTCATCAATAAATTGAAATGGCTCGTTCTTTTTTACTGCTGTAAGGCCAGCAGCTAGGTCAGAGCAAGCCATAGACTCCACATACACCTGTAAAAATATAGTATAATAAGAAAAGCAACATGAACAACTAGAGATTCCTCAATTGGTTTTGTTTTTAATTTTGAACACACAATCCCATGCCTTTGAGTTCCTGATTGCAATATTGCTAGCTGTTTTATGGTTATGAGTTGCCAGAAGATATATTTAAAGGATTTCTTGGTTGGACAAGTATGCAACACTGGAGTGAACAAACAGATTTTCAAAGCTTAAGAGTGAAGGTAAAATCGCATTTGTAATTTATTGCTCCAAAAAATCTGTACTTTTACAAACAGGATTTTAGTTTAATATGATCTTTTTATTATTTCTGTGATTCATACTTTCTTTCGCTTACGTAATTATAGATGGATCTTAGCCATTTTCATGGCAAAAATGACCAACATTGAATACCACAGACAGAGCACTTGTCTGGGAGAGGATGTAGAAAACAGACTTGAATGCTTCACAAACTCATGCCATGGAAATAGTCAGCTTGCACTCTAGTGCTCCAGTTTATTGTCTAGAGGCCTATGTTTGTTATAATTCTGTGGCAAATTCGAATTAGTTTTAATTTGATATATGTTATATGTTAACGATCAGTAGGTTATATTTATCCAAAGCTTATTCAAATTGGAATTTTAAGTTTTTGTACATTAAATGCGGTTATATTAGCAGTGTTGTTGACTGAAATGAAAATGAATGAATATGAATTAAATAGACTATCAATATAAACGTTTTTAATATTGACTGGGCAAACAGCTGATGTTCACAAAAAAATCATCTCAATTTATTATTGCCCTTGCCTTTCAGATTTTTCAAGAATTGAAAAGCAGCGACATTGCCAAGAGCTTCCGGAAAGCCATCAACAGGAAGGAAGGAATTTTGGCTATCGGTGGCACTTCAGAGCTTTCCAGTGAAGGAACACAGCATTCTTTCTCAGGTACGCTGTAAGAGGCCAATCAGAGATCCATTTTGATACATTTTTTATTTTTCCTTTTTCAAACTTTTCAATTGAAATATTTTATTGCGCTTTAGCAAAATGTCATTTATAACGGAATCTAGTGTAAGTGAAAATACCACATATCTTGTGTGTTGTCAAACAGATTTCTCTATCAAACACTAATTCATGAGACTCTTTCTTTCTAAAGGAGTACAGTCTAAGTATAAAGTTTGTTGCTTTGAGTATTTCTAATTTAAGTCATTTCCTTGCATGTTATTCCTTTTTGTAGCAGTTGCCTTATGTTTGAAAAGCCACACAAAGAGATTAATTAACTTTTTACCTGGTTGATGGAATAGGTGTGCATAATGTTAAATATTAATATTTGAGTCAGATCATGCAGATTTAGAGGTTGTGGTCTAAATGAATTTCTGATTGATAGAGGCTAGAAACAATATATAATCTGTGGTCATACAGTTTTATCAGGTGAGCCAATTACAGTCTGTCCTGGTCTATTTTTGCTTGCCCAGAGTTGAAACTTGAGTGTGTAGATTTCTAGAACTGAAGGTAATTGTGAGAAGTCTCCCCTGTTATTAAGACATTATTTTTCATGGTTGGAACCACCTGACCATTTTGTTTAAATTGCATTCTGGTAATTGTATGATAGTTTTATTTTCTAGAATTCCATGTGGTCTTCTCCCAAAAATCTGTGGGATTGAATTAAAAAAAATGGTTATGTTGCATTGATTGTAAATGATGTCTACAAAGAAATCATTTTTTATTTTTTCCAATGTGTTCAGAGTCTTAACTGTGTAGATTGAATGCAATTAATTTAAACCAGTTTGATGGTCTGATTCAAGTACAAGTCCACCCAAAATATCCTTTAAATATTCGTGGGACACTTCAGGAATTGTTTGCCAGAATGGTGCAATAGTTTGACTTATGCATATTTAAATGTGTGAAACCTGCAACTTCCCCAGTGCTTTTTTAAATAAATGTTCCAATATTTGTGAAGTAGTCTTTGAATAATCACAATGTGAAGACAGGTAGAAGTATTTAAGTTTTTAAAAATAAGCTTTTAGCATAGTTATAAGAATTTTTCAAAATGCAGATTTGTTAAATATTTTTAGTATGAAGTAAAGACCAGTATTGGTGTAATAGCATTAAAAATAGTCAATATGTGAATATCATTCCAGTCTTTAAAGATATTTACAGAAGTATGGTAAAGCTTAATATTGAACAAATGTTCCTACAATGAGAAATTGAACAGTGATTTTCCCTATTGTTGTCTTTGCGTTAAAATGCACCAGGTGGTACAAGAATGTTGGCATAGTAGTGTTCAAAAGCATAGGGGCTGTTAGGCTGGCGAACTCCATATAGAGCTCTCTTCTCCTGAAAGGTGGTGTGTTGGAAAAGAAGGAATAAACCTGGGGCATATTAAAATCTATAGAAGGGGTCTTCTGCTTTGTGCTTTCATTAATGACCTTTTTATCAGACGTCCAATGGAGATGTAGGAAACTACTAAAGGTGGACTCTAAGCCCAAGTCCCAGTGAGGAGACTGCAAGTTGACAAAATGTGTCACTTATGTGGGAGAGAACTGGAGGCACATGGTCGACAAGTGCCCTTGTATAACTTCAAAGATCTCTGCAAGGGGAAGTAGGGATCAGAGACAGAGAGCCAACCCCATGCATCAAAGGTATTCAGTCAGTACTGAGGCCTGTTGAAGAAATACAACCATGTAGAAAATGGCACATAGGTTTGGTAGTTGGATAACTATGGGCTGTAGGTCTTGAGCAAGCATCAACCTTGAGGGATCCACTATGGTCTTGTACAAATCCACTATGGTCTTGTACAGTCTGGCCTTCCTAAAGTTCCCCCTTAATTCTACTGGTGAAGCAGGTACTGAGTAGTGGGGTAGCTTGGTCATAATGGCAGCCGCTCTTCAGCAGTGGGTGATTTGGCTCCCTTGCTATACTGCATTTTAAGTGCTTTGGACTCTTTTGGGTTGAAAAAAACTATATTCATGAAATGTATTATTTGTAGGACAACTACACTGGTATCAAAAGCCATAAGATTCATGTAGGTGTCTCTACTGAAGACAGTAAAGTAAAATAAAGATTTAAAACTAACCATATGATTTAAGTTTTGGTTGGCTGATATTTTTGGTGGTTACCACCATAAAGTTGAATTGCGCACACACGAACAACAGAGGTTTTCTGTCTCATTTAACCAACATGCCTGACCTGAACCTGAACTCAGTTATTTGTATACCTCTTTAATTGCACAGTACAAAACAAACAAAAGGAAAACCTGGTTTATTGCAGTTGTTCTCTAGGACACAATCCATGGCTTAAGGGTAAGAAGAAGGAAAAAACCCTTGATCAAATTTTACCTCTTCCTCTGTCCCCGAGTGATCCAAGGATTTATTCAATGAGCTTTTCCACAAGCAAGCCTTCCGTGTCTGAAGAAGTCTGCAGAGCCTTCTTCAGACACCTGAAGAATCCTGTACAGCAGAAATGTGGTCTCTTTTCCTTTCCTTTCAGCTTGGTACAAAACTTGACCTGTTCCTTTGCAGGATACGCACCTTGACACAACTACCTACTTGAACGTTTTTACAAGCAGCCAATCATATTCATAGCATCTCAAGGTTCACTAAGAAGAGCACTGCATTAGTCGTAATGATACATAATTTTTATCATTTTAAAACAAAGATTTCAAGTGCAGGCTGAAGTCCTTTGTAAGATGGTGGAAAACCATGAGCAGAGAAGCCGAGGTACTCCACAAACTTTTTAAAGGCTTTTTAACAGGAGGCTATTCTTAGCTTAGTCTTGTGTTCTTTTCATCCATGAATCTGCTGCAAATTCAGGAATGGTGGTTTGTCATAGTAATGTAAAAAACTATTTTATTGAGAGTACTATAAGTTTTATGCATAAACAATATATAGGGAAAAAAATAACAACGCTCCCTTAAAGTACAGTCGTTAGCATATGCATAGACAGTAGGTACTATCTGGTACTACAGTATGTGCACTCACAAGCCTTTATTATAAAAACTTAAAATGTAGTAAAATTAAAAAGTAAGTTCCAGAAAAAAATAATTCAGCAGTACTTTATACATGAACCCATCTTCTTGTTAAATAAACAGGTAGTAATTACTACTGTACATCTCATATATGCAAAAAGATGTATAATGGTTGCTTGTATAGTGAGGGATTACTGCATGTGAAATGTGCTTTCCTGACCGATCAACCTGACCTACAAGCTCTGCTTGAGGAAACTGATCTGGAAAAGAGCTCAGAGAAAATGAGCTCACCTTCTTTTGTAATTGGTAAATTTTGAGTGATTTCAAAGGGAAATGGATTAGGCAAAATGTAAATATAAGTATATAAGTTATGTAATTAAACACCTGAGGGTGGAACACTTAGCTAATACCAGTTTCTAAACTAAGGTAGTATGTTCAGTATTTTGTAGGTCGGGCTTAATTGGTATTTGCTCAGATTTCATGTACTTTCTATTACAGAGGAAGAAAGGTTTGCCTTTGTAAACTGGGTAAACAAAGCACTGGAGAATGACCCTGACTGCAAGCATGTTGTTCCTATGGATCCCAATTCAAACTCTCTGTTCAAAGCTGTTGGAGATGGAATCGTGTTGTGGTAAGAACAACGTAACCGTGTTCATGCATGAGCTAGCTACAGAAGGGATATAACCCCCTCTGAAGTCTAGATGGTGTAAACTCTGCTGTGACAAAGGACTGAGTCTTATGGTGCGATGGAGTTATCTGCTGTCTAGGGTTTGGCCGTGTGTGTGGAGCTCACGAGAAACTTTAGGTTTTCTTTTATTTTCTCTTTTGTGATATAAACATCCAGTATAGTGTTAGAGTTATAGTATAGAGTTAAAGATAAAGATATAGGGTAGAGTTAAAAAGACTCAAAATCTTCCCTAATCAAAGAGAATTTGTATATTGCATGACAATGTGAATTTACCCTGTTGAGAGAATTGCTTTAGAAATGGTTTCATCCCTAGATGTTTAATGAAAGGGTTTGCTCTACTTTATTTGTAGGTGCAAAATGTCTTCTTAAAATGTTTAAACAGGTCCCTAGAAAAATAATGGATACTCGGCACTTTTTTTCCAATAAAATTATGTATCTTGTTCTTGCATTTATAAATATGCTACAGAATGTAAGGAGTCTCCATTTCTAACTTTAACAGATGAGCTCTCAAATTCCTGAGCAGGTGATTTTTAAAAAAACAACAGGAGAAATGTAGTTGCTAAAAAAACATAATCAGCTTAATTAGCTGAATCTTGATTTTAAGGACAGTGTCAGTGTCTGAAGCAATAAAGGAACATTCCCTCCTACAGTCCGGTAAACGGTACCAAAGCATTCCGTCCAAGTCCAACAGACTACGGAACAGCTTCTACCTCCAGGCCATAAGACTGCTAAATAGCCAACCTGTAGCTCCTTAGCAAATCACCTGTAGTGGCTACATGGACACACAATTCTCACTACATTCAGCATAACTGCACTACATGTATATATTGCATACACCATGGTCACATAACAGCTCTTCTCACATTGAGTTTTATTCAATTAAAAAAATGTAACCTCAATTTTGTGATTTTTGTGTTTTTGTGAATTTTTGTGATTCTTGTAATTTTTGTGAGCTCGCAGAAAAAGACATTTCATTGCCAGCAACTACTGCTGCACGCCGTATTGTTGTGCATTTGATAAATAAACTTTGATTTGATTTGAAGACTGTTGCTAATGACTGGTTTAAAACAATTGCTCTTTTCTGTGCTGAAGCAAAATGATCAATCTGTCAGTACCGGATACAATTGATGAAAGGACAATAAATAAGAAGAAGCTGACGCCTTTTACGACACAGGTAAACGTTTTCCACTTTCTGAAACTTTATAAAATAAGCAAAGTCGTGCTGATGATAAGATGCTTTGCCAGCTTAACTTGTGGCTATTTGTAGATCAAAACTTCCAGTAAAGAATATATAGTATGAAGAGGGACAGTCACCCATTTATATAACAGCACCTTCACATATCACTAGAATAGCTTTGCGAGTGGTTTTACACTTTTCCCTCTAGAATGTACGTAATGCCTGCTTCCCAGTGTCCTAGACTGGATGGTACATGGACAGAGAAATGTATCCACATGCTGAGTAATTTCCATATGTTTGTTATGTTTTAATGCCATACAGTGTCCTACATTCTCAGAGTTGAATCTCACACAAACTCTGGGAGGTGTCATGGAACATGGAGACACTATATGTATTAGCTAGACAAAATGCACAATGATTCTCCATCATCTGATGAATACATTTGCTTTCAAGAATGGGATAGTTTTGTGAATCTGAACTGAAACATTTGAAAATGTAAGCATTCACACAGTGATTATCTGCACTCTTATGTGTGCCTTGATCTAAATTGGAACTGCACATTCTATTTCATTTTGGTCATTCTTTGGTCACAAACAGAGCTTGCTCCTTTAGCATTTTTGTTCTGGACATGCTATCATATGCAAGATATTTCTCCTTTCCTTTTTTGCCATGGCTGTTATTTCTTGTTTGAATTTGGCTACTTTCATGTAGGACAAGTCACACATGAACAAAATTAGAAGTAAAAAGTTGCCAAACGCATGGCATTTGCCCTACCCTTACGCCACGCGTCTCTCCGTGTAGGAAAACCTGAATTTGGCCCTGAACTCCGCCTCTGCTATCGGTTGCCACGTTGTCAACATTGGAGCTCAGGACCTACGAGAAGGAAAGCCTCACCTGGTGCTGGGGCTACTGTGGCAGATCATCAAGATTGGTCTGTTTGCCGACATTGAGCTGAGCAAGAATGAAGGTGCGTCATGTGATCTGCCTTAGTGTGGGATTTCTCAGCTCTGCTCTTCCACTAACCCTGTTTGCTGGCATAATTGATCTAATTTGCCTAATTAAACACTTTTTACTCAATCCAGCTACGTGGTGGCTCTACTCTGCAAGTCTTTATGTAACCTAAATTTCATGTCAGCCGAAGTGACTTAGCTGCGAATACGTAGAAGGTGACCATTCATGACCCCCTCCCTTATTTTCCCTAGCTGTGTGGGAGAGTAAGGATGGAGGGAGGGACAGGAGAGCAGAATTGCAGCCTCACAAGGGTTTATTGTCCTTAAATGGCTAGCAGGTGTGTGTGTTAATCACAAAGGGAGGCTAGAGAGCAAAAGGGAGACCATAGCAACATCTAGCAGTCCATGAGTGATGGATGAAATTTAAAAAACATAATTATACATTGAATAATTATACATCTTGCATACATATACAGTATGATAAACGATTGTTTTAATGCATCTGTAAATACTGTGCATTTTATTACCCAGCACTGTACTGCTAATTAAAAAATAAAATACACAGCAAGCGATAAAAACTAAATCACTTACAGTAGGTGCTTCTCTGAAGTGATTGCAGTATGAGTTACTCACAATTTTAAGTAACTAGATTTTATGATGGGGCCCCTGGGAGGTTTTGACACCAAGTCAAGTTTTTGTAAGTTGGATCTTATGTAAACTAGGGATAAGGTGTATTCAATTGCTGGTTTCTGTTTAGTCACTAACCTTCATGCTGGATAAATCTCCATTAAATTAAAAAAAAAACTAAATGATTTAGTTTTGAAACGATCCCTTTCTGTATTTAGCTGTTTTTAAAGTAGCGTGTTCCAGGCAGAGCATCTGATCTTTTGATCATAAAATATTCCCACCCCAAATTACTTTCTTCTATGTTTTCCTTTGCAACAACAAACCAATTAAACAGTCGTCACATAAAGTCTCAACCTGGATTTTCTATTACTATGCTGACTAATTCCTCTGGCATATTACAGACCTTTTTTCCAGTAAAGCAAACATGCTCACATCTGTTGAACATTCAAAAAATCGTCAGGTTTCAGTAGAATGTAGCTTAGCTTGATTGCAGAACCTGATGCGTTGAAAAACAAGTTTGGAATAAGACGTTTGACAACAGTATGGGAAAACGTATATATTTATCACTGTTGGGCAGCCAGATTCATTTTATTGTTTTAAGCAGCAGGTTTTTCTTTTATTTAACCAGATTCTGGAGACCTCTTGTTTCTTTGAGTACATTCACAGAGGCAGATGTGTAAATTTCATGTATTAAATATACTGTTTTTTTTGCTACAGCAATTCAACTTCATGTGCCTACAGCATGTCAAACCTGAAATTGATCTGTTAAAGCGTTGCTCTGAGCTGCCGCGTCTTTATGACAGGTTCAGGAGTCCACTTGCGTGGTCCAGGTGAAGGCAAGCAGAGAGGCAAGAGCTTGGGGCTTACAGGCAGACAGGAGACAAACAAAATAGGGGATGTGCTGTGCATCTGGGCTAAATAGACCAGAGAAGGCAGGTGCAGCTGAGCAGAGCAGGTCTGGAGAACAAGGGTGTTGCTGAGGTTTAGCAGTTATTGGGTGGTTGGGGATCCAGTTGGCTGTGCAGATTTGTCATGAACTCCGGATTGAGTAGTTGAACTGGTTCCTTGTTTCTCTGATGGGCTAGTTAGTACAAGGAGCACCTCCCTATGTCTGTAGGAACCTCAATGACAGAGCGTCTGACCATGGGGAGGACAGGGTTTAAGTAATTTGGAGATGATTAGATGATTACCTGTTAAGTGGGGGTAGCTGGCAGGAACAGCTGTCCTGGTCGTGGTCTCACATGTCAGCTGACAGTTTCACTAATATAAAAATGACTAGGATTGAAAAAATATTTTGGAACTGCCAGGTATTTTTCAAAGCATTAAAACCGGGAGTGAAAGATTGAGGCCGTCTGACCCACCTGTCATCCCTCTAGCTTTGGCTGCCTTGCTGCGCGATGGAGAGACTCTGGAGGACCTGATGAAGCTGTCTCCTGAAGAGCTGCTCTTGAGGTGGGCCAACTTCCATCTGGAGAATGCTGGCTGGAACAAAATCAACAACTTTAGCTCCGACATTAAGGTAATATAGCAGTTCTCCTGTCCTCAGTGATACCTCTTCAGTGCTACTGAAAGCAGTTTAAGAACAAGCAACACTTCTACTTGTGTATCACTCGCATGCTGCTGCAATTCTTTAAATTTACAATTTTATCTTGATGTTCAGATCGTCAGGTGTAGTTTTGAGTGGTATTGAATCTGCAGCATCTTTGAGGAGATATTACTCTGCTAACCTGCAGCCTCATGAACTCACATCTTGAATGTGCTGTGGGTGGACTTTAAATTTAAAATAACTTCACATAGTGTGAACAGTGGTTAAATAAAGGCCGAAGCTTGTTGAGGTGTATAACTACAGGTTATAACTCAGGTTACGTATCCTTTATTTGCTTGTTTTTTGCTTGTTTCAAATGCTAGATCCTATTTCTTTCTTTAGGACAAATTGGTTCTTATTTTAAAATGCTTGGGGACACAAGACTACATGCTGCATGGACCAGTTCCACACTGGGATGAATATGGTTGCTTGTGTGTCACACAGGCAGCCTGGGAGTTTTTGTTTGTGTTCTTCCAGCTATAAATCAGTTAAGCCCCAAAACAATGAAAGCTACTGGGTGGGGGAAAAAGTTTTTTAATCAATGTTTTTTATAAATTCCTTGCACTGAAATTTACCAATTTAAAAAATATGACAGATTTTGTCATATAGAAGAATTTCAGAAGTATTAACTAAGTCACTGCAATGCTTCTAGCACAATAATGTGTAATGAAAAGTTCTGTTAAGATGAATGAAGTATTGATAGGAGATTTCACTGGACGTTGAAAACAGTAACTAACTTCACTAGCAGGAGTGCAATGCAAAAGAACAGTCTTACTGTTAACTAAGCCTTTATTAATAACGAGATGCTATTTTGTGTATAAGGGAGTCAGGGGGCCAAGAAATTCTTTGTTAGTATGAATACATTTTAAGACGGGCAAACCAAGTCATTTTGAAAAGCTTATACCTATGCTTAATATTGAATGAGAAATTCAAACTGTCAACATTTCATACTCACAAATCCTAAATAGGAAAATAAACATTTGTAATGTTACTTCCCAGACTTTTAAAGGCTTAGAGAGTAAAAGGAAAGATAGTTGCACATTCCAGATGTGTCTCTAGACATATGAATTCTGCTTTTTCAGAAAGCAGATACAGTCGTAAGCTTTCAATAAGTATTCTGAATTTTACTTGGATAAATATTTAGAATTTAAGCATCCTGCTGAAGATTTCACATTTTGAGAAAGGTGTATTCTAGAAAATGCATGATAAATGACCTAATACAAAATGCAATCTCCTTGAATTCAGTGTCATATCCTCTCCACTCCTTTCAATTTCAGTGACTGGACAGCACACAGATACACATACAGATTATCAGTTTACCATTTCCATGTCATCCCAGCAGAACTGTCCAGAAAAAAAGACCTATCTGGTATTTTACATTTAACATAATATAGGGATCATTCCAATTATTTTTTTAACTATGTACAAGTACGTAGATGTACTTGTACGTACATCTAATGGAGGTTATCCATTCATCCATTCAACCCTTTTCCTAGCTACTTGTTCCAATTCAGGATCTTGGAGGGGCCACAGTGTATCCCAGCAAGCAACAGGTGTAAGGCAGAGTACATCCTTGCCAGGACACCAGTCTATCGCAGGGCAGACACGTAGGCACACACACTCACACCTAGGGCGCATTTTCCCAGAAGCCAATTAATCTACCAATATGTTTTTGGACTGTGGGAGAAAACTGATGAACCTTGAGGAAACCCGGGGGAGTTTGGAGTTTGCAAGGTCTGGAATTGAACCAAGGTCCCCAGCGCTGCAAACCACTACGCCACCATACTGCCCTATCACTAGGTTTTTATTTGTAATGATGGGCCATGTGCCAGCTGCCTGCAAGGTAAAGGATTATTGTTCATGAACCACAGTCAGCCAGATCCTAGCAGAAATGAGTGGCCTTCATTATGCAGTGCATCATCCCGGGCCATGTTTGAATTGGCAAAATAGGAGTTCATTGTTTTTTTCTCAGTAATGAAAGGTTCAAGCCCATACCAGGAAACCATCTATGATCCAATTGTCTCAAACTGCTGTGCCAGTGCATTTGGTCATTCATGTTATAGATTATAATATATTTTTTGGGGTTGTTTATAATCGGAGGCTTCATTAGAATTTAAACCAGATTCCATTTTTGGTGAAAGTGTATTACGGTGTATTTTAGTTAAAAGATAATCTCAGATGTATTATGATGAAAGTCAAAGCAGTGCCGTTTTAAACCTTCTGATTTAAAACCTGATTTTAGAGCCTGTCTGTCTCTCTAGCCCCAGGGATCCGTACTTATGATAGACATACCATGCAAGACAGAATCCATCCATTCATTGGTCAGAGAACAAAAGCTTTTGTGTCGGTACACAAAAATATTTTAAGTATTCATGGCAAACTCCTGACAAACTCCTGGTCTACTTTTAGTTCAAAGGATACATGAAATATTGTGGAAAGTTCATATATTTCCTTATATACCAGTTTACTTTCTTCTCCTATTTGAAATATATTCCAGGTCTGGACTTTATAAATTGTAGTCTCTTCAATAAATGTTTGTTAATCCAAAGGATAAATACAATAAACTTCTTATTGCTCTCTCTCTCACTTCGTGGATTTTCTCTGTTCTTTTACTTCCTGCTTTGAAAAATTTTGAGTCACGTATGGCATGGACAGGCAGTTCTGGAGTCTTTTAAAGTCTCGTTTTTCCCCACTTTTGAACAAAAAATGTTGTTAATGAAAATCCTCATTAAACAAAAAAAGCAAATGATTGGAAGAAAAATATATTTGTTCTACTCCATTTTTGAAAGTACAATTATGCTAAGGCTGTTCATGAAATGCCTGTCTTTCACCCCTCTGCTCAGCTTTACTGTATGAACTGTTGAATAATTTCTTCCTTTTGTGTTTTCTTCTGCTCTTTGAAAATGCTGTCTCTGGACGTATTCTGTGGTATTTCTGATTCTGCGCTTGTCTTTTCTTGTACACCAGCTAGCAGACTTCAGTAATTCAGTAAAGGTACTTTTCTTTTGTTACTTGGTCTTGTATAGTTTTTGTTGCCTCTGTCCACACTGAAGTCACTTGTGTTCCAGTGTCCACCACATTTATTGCATTGACGTTAAAAAAATTCCAGGTGATTTATTTTTTCCATAAAAAAGTCATCCCATATCCCATTTTTTATGCTCAATCATCCTGCTTGTTAAGGTTAATGACAGAAATTCTTTGAATTTAGAAAGCTCGAAATGGTTGAAAGAGACAACTTATGTTTTAATTGTTATCCTGATTTATTTCTATTGCTTGTCCTTTTATAGGATTCAAGGGCCTATTTCCATCTCCTGAACCAGATAGCGCCTAAAGGGACCAAAGAAGGCGAGACACGCATTGACATCAATATGTCTGGGTTTAATGTAAGTACATTTTCAGTCCAAAGTAAAACTGATTTGAGAATGGAATCTTTACATTTCATTGCTGGACGTGTTCTATTTAAATGGGTGATCTTTTCTCACCTGCTAAAATGTTCATGCTAGGATATAGGAATTTTCTGTGCTACTATATTTAAAAAATTCTAAATTAGTACCGAAAAGAGAGGTAATTTGTGAACAAATCTTCGAAAGTAATTTGAGAATATTTACCTCTTTTGTTTTATCTGAAATTAAGATTGAGCCTCAAATTAAGCCAAATGCCGAAAATTAATATTCCCAGAATTATAGTTTTAGTTGTTTCATGTTTCTATTGAATATCCATGGACAGAATAAAACAGATTTCTAATTTCATCCATTTTTCTAAGTCTCCAAAAAAGCCTGTAGGAAACAGTACAATGACTGAATGTTATTAGGAGGACTTCATTAAAATTGGTCCTTTGCTGATTAAACATAGATATTGAAAGGATGGCAGTATATCTGTAAAATATTTGGCTCTCCCTGCCCCTGCCAGGATTTGATCTGGTAATTTCCGTGCTCCAAGCACACAGAGTGCTGCTCCCTAGACAATAAATAATTCCTTCACGCCAAAACGCCAGGTCCTCTGTCACTGCAGAGTTTTACACTGTCTAGATTTCAGGGGAGTGTGATGTCACTTCTGTAATCATCTGTGATATACGTATATACTCTAGAATTTTCTTTACCTGTACATATGACGTTACCTGTAACATCGTTAGTGGCATTAATGTTTCCTTGTAATCTACCGAGTGACCTATTATGACTGTCGTAACATGCCTAATAAAGGAGACCAGTCTCGGTGCATACATACAAGACATTAATATGTAAAATGTTTGAAAATGTATCATGGAAGAAAAAAGGCATCCTGCTTGTTCACTGAACATCTGTTTTGGGAAGGTTTCAATGTGTCTGGGAGCATTCCATTCCATGGAGCAGGAGCTGCACAACAGCATGTATTTAATTCGGCTGACTGCCCTCTGAAAGTTCAATGTGAAAATTGAGTGCACAGGGAGCTGGCTTAACTACTTTAGATAGCAGCCAGCTGTACCAAAAGCCGTGGGAGAGAACTGTAGTTCCTCTTCTTATTTCACTTAAAACGGTGAGAATTGACCTACAGTAAGTCTATAGCAGTAAAATATTTGGATTAAATTCCTTCAGATGAAGACACGGAATATGTGCAGTTCAGATGATGCTAACAGTGTTTTTCTTCTCAGTTCTTTGATATAACCAAGTTCGTTAAGAGCTCAAAACGCTTGCATTTGATCCCGTAACTTTTAATTTAATATAAATGAAGGAATTTCAGATTTCCATGTCTGATGGAAAAATTGAGTCTTTGTGAAAGTGTTATTTTCTTCTTGTGAGTAGTCTTCTTTCAAGCAGTACTGGGTTGTTGGATTTTTTAAGAATATGTGGGGCCCAGGTTTGTCTAATCATGGGGAGGGTCACTGACGACTGGATTGGAACTCTGTGGCAAACTGTCTAGGTATAAAGAGTAGATAAATTCTTTGAGTGATGAATGGACAGTTGTAGAAGAAACCCCCCATTGAGATGATGGTGGGCATATTGATCCCGTCTGAATGCTGTAAATTTCACTGGAATAACTGTAGCCAGTGGAGATTTATCAATTTACACTCATTCTGTCAAACATATGGAAGCCATTCATTGGGCTAAAGAAGTGCATCATGATGTATGAATCCTCTGATGTATACGTACTTGTTCTTGTGTAATCACTAGAAGCGACTAATAACAAGAGTCAAAGGGATAGCTTTAGAAAAAAGAAAATCACTGCATGACATTCTTTGCATAATCTCATATGCTTATACTTGAGCACTTCTCCTGTCATTGAAGTGGTATTACAGCTATGATAACAGATTTCAGTCAAAATGCTAATGGGAGGTGAAGGTTGCTTTTGTCATTTTCACGCACACCTAATTGCCTTCTAGGCATGTACTCTGTTAATACTGTACAAGTCACTTTTGTAGTAGTCAGCTCCTAGCTTTAAATGTTTTTCTATCAAGAGTGTTAGAATAGCTTTACATGCTGTGTATTTGTCCACTGTAAATGGTAATCATTTGCAGAATAAATGAATGTATGTTCTAATGTGAGTAATTAATGTGGCATGAAGAACAGTTAATGAACATGTAAAGCCCTTGGCAGAAGGAATCTTGTATGTTCAATGGGATTCTTGTAATGCCTTTCAGCATCTATTTCTCTATTCTCCTTTGGTATTTGAAGTGAGTCACATTTGAAACATCAAAACCAAACACTAGACACTTAAGCCAGAGACAAAAACATCTTATTTAATTTTGGGAGACATTAAGGTCACCAGTTTTCAAAATTCTCTGGGCTTTACCATTAATCGGCATTGTATGTTTTGGTGAGCATGATATTTATTTGCATTTTAATTTCGAAGTTTCTGCTTCTTTAGTTTTTTAACTTGAATGAGTAGTATGAAATATTCCCATAATTGACATACACTAAGAAGTCCTAACCTAGTTCTAAGTCATTTCACTTTATTAAACTGTTGGTCACATTCTTAAACATTTGGAATCAGAAGCTATTTAGTGTGTACCTTATTTTGAACTGGCTACCCTTAATCAATTTGACAGACATATGGCAACATAATTGGGAAGAAATACGTTTTGTTCTCTAAATTCTGACACACTGCCACGACTTGGCAAGGTCCAAGAGTCATTTTACGGCCAGCTCAGATTTGCATATTCCTGGTGGTTTTCTGATGGTAGTGTGCATCCACTCGGGGAATTATGCTCATATGGGCTAATGAACCAGGTGTCTGGACTGTAGGCCTCAAAGTTTGCTCTAAGTGGGTACGTTTAGCAGTGGAGACACTCAGGAGTTCCAAGATCTCAAACGTTGAATGCCATCAGTTTTTAGATTTCTTGATGAACACAAAAACATGAGGTTTTTGTCTGTAGTTTCTTTTTCTCATTTTAGATCTGTTTGCCTCAAGTGAAGTCAGTGTTGAAATATGACACGTAAGCTATTAGACTTGTTAGTGGCCATTATTCTAAGTGAAACTAACACTTTAGGCTTCTAGTTTATTGAAGAACCAGGACTGTTATGGCCAGTTGTGTGCACATAGAAATTGTGAAATCTGAAACCTTTTGATAAGGTCACAACTGATTGTAGTAATAAGAGCCACATGCTTCTTAATAAGAATGACTGTCATGGAAATGGAAGCATACATAAAGTTTAAATTATAATGAGTGTAGGTTTTATAATTTACTTCTCTGAGAGGTTGTTTCCCTGCTCTCCTTCACATACCTGTGACTGAATCCCTGCGTGTACTTCACTTTGGCAGGAGAAAGACGACTTGAAGAGAGCAGAGTTAATGCTACAGGAGGCAGAGAAACTGGGCTGCCGACAGTTTGTCACCCCATCAGATGTGGTCAGTGGGAACCCCAAGCTGAATTTGGCTTTTGTTGCCAACTTGTTCAATAAGTACCCAGCACTGATAAAGCCAGAGAACCAGGACATCGACTGGGGGCTGCTGGAAGGTCAGTTGGTTTCACTGAGCTAAACCTACTCTCCCACCCCCTCAAAACTATTTGCCTCAGAGCTTAATTTGTACATGTACTGTAACCAAAGGTGGTAAATGAATCAGAGAGTCCCAAAAAGTTATACAGATAAACTGAATTGCATTACGACACATTTAGGTTAAATCAAATCTTTGACCCACCTGTGAACTGCAGATTTGACACTGTGCCACCCAGAATCTGATGGTAGGTTGCCCTTGGGAAGAGAGGTAAGTGTCACTGGGCAATAAAAAGCCTCTTCAAGTGCAGCTTGTTTTATTTTTTTTGAGCCATAGTTTAGGAATTACAGCCAGATTTTATTTGGAGACCTTACACCAAAAATAAAATACTAAATGTTCTGTTTGAAACAGCTTAATTGACCAGTGCAGTGGTTACAACAATAGTCCACTGGCATCTTTTTAGAAAAGTCAAATATCAAACATTAATTATGTTTAAGATTAAGAATATAAAATTGTAATATAAGTGCAATTTGCTCTTGTGCAGGTAAGCGAAATGTTTTCTAAATGTGTATAAATTAGTGTGTAAATGCAGATGAGAATATGTGGCGTTTCACCTTGGTTGGTAGAATTGTAGCTGTACTTTAAGGCTGTTTACACCTGGCCCTACATTTCTGTTAGTTAAGAAGGTGACAGAGGACAGCTGCTGTTAAGCATTATTTATAGAAGTGGCTGTAGTTTTTGAACTGCATGTCACTTGATCACCAGTTCTTCTATGAAGTTCAACTCTATGAAGAATCCAGGTGTATAGGGTGGCCCCTGGACACTGCCCTTTGAGAAGGGCTGGAAAATGAAAGTAATGAATAAAGTAATAAATGTTTAAAGTGAATACAGTACATTTATCTTTGCAGAACTGATATTGACTGATGGCAGAGGCGTTTGATTGTTTAGGAAAGAGCTTTGATCTCTTTCTTTACTTTCTATTTGAAATTAAGCCATCTTTTCTATTTTATAGGAAAAGCTGGTAATGTCTGTGGCCTTGGGAATATAATGTCATTCTCTGAGGTTGATTTTTGGACCATTTCAGTGTATCATCAGTGTTGACTTCAACAACATCCTAGAATTTGTGCTGTATTGAGAGCGCCATCTATTGGTTGCAGTTTCCATTATTGTTCATGGAAAGGTTAATCAGAGAATGAACCTTCTAATTTAGGATATATTATAGACTGGCAGTTTCTATATTTGTTTGAAAACGTTTTTATAGTGAACTGTCTTAGAGTTTTGCTTTAGTTCTAAAAATGAGGTCTTATATTTTATGTGCATGTCATATATATATATATTGACAGGGTGGAAAGAGGATTTTCATTTAAATAGTATTCTGGGCATTTTTAGAAAGTTCTCAGAAAAAATATTAACCATTTGATCCAATATTTTGATGGACCAACATTATGGCAGTATTCTGGAAGATTTGTTATTAGTTTTTATGAGTGTTTTGCAAGTCGAATCCTATTATTGGAATACCTTCTGTTATGCATGACAAACACTTTCAAACCAAAGATTTAATAAATGTAGGCACTCCTTCCAACCCAATTGCTTACTTTATTTAGAAATGTAAAAATGTAAATTTTTGTAACAAAGCTTACAAAGAAGAGATTGCCATTTTGTCTATCTAGCCCATTGGAAAGTAGTTAATTGATCCAAGGATCTCATCCAGTCCATACAGTGTAATTAATTCTGTACAAAGAGGCGTATACATACTGTACCAGGGGTAGTTGTGTGCAACTGTACAGTAGCTCCACCTTTTGACTCATCCAGGTATTGTTTATTTCCAGGTGAGACAAGGGAGGAAAGAACCTTCCGGAACTGGATGAATTCTTTGGGTGTGAACCCCCACGTCAATCACTTGTTTGCGTAAGCACGAACTTTACTCTCCTGTGTTCACTTTGTTTAATCAATTAGTTATGATATTATGCTCATTATCTTGCTTTTTTTACAGTACGTGTCCTTAACTTGATTTGTTCATTTTTAAAACACCTACTCATACATCCATTTTTTAACCGCTTTTTCCAATTCAGGGGGTCAAAGCCTATTCCGGCGAGCAAGGGGCGTAAGGCAGGGTACACCCTGAATGGGACGCCCGTTCATCACAGTGCATACCCAGGGAGAGGCATGCACACACTTACAACAGGGCCAATTTTCCTAGAAGCCAATTAAACTACCAGTATGGCCAGTACCAGTTTGACTGTGGGAGGAAATCTGAGCACCCCGAGGAAACCCACGTGATATACAAACTCTGTAAAGATAGCAACCTGGGTCTGGAATTGAACTCAGGACCACAGCACTACAGGATGACATTTCTAACCACTGTGCCACCTTGTTTTTAATATATTTTAAGTTATGTTTCATTCACAGTTCTATGCACACTGTTATTAACGGGCTTTAGATATTTCTATGTACTGACTTAGAGCCACTTGAGCTCCTAAACATTCATTAACAAGCATCGTCCTAATGCTTTTTTTTTTAGTGACCTGCAAGATGCCCTGGTTATTCTTCAGCTTTACGAAAATATTAAGGTTCGGGTCGACTGGAATAGAGTGAATAAACCACCATATCCTAAGATTGGGACCAATATGAAAAAGGTAAGATCACAAGACATCCACAGTTTGGGTGTTTAGAGGTCTTTCTGATAATGCATTTTTCAGTACTGTTTTTTCAGTCTGGAAAGCTATTAAATCCAGGTTCTGCTGCCAGTCCATTCGCTTCTTTTATTTGGTAATGGAAAAAAAATATTTTTTTAAAACAAAGTTTACAAACGTAGAAAAACCCAGGAAATTAAATCCTGCTTTTTCATGTAAATTAAATTCCTGAAATTGTATACCATTCAGTTTTTCTCTTGTCTTCATCTGGATCAGATTTTATCCAGTTTATTTGTTCTTTAACATACAAAGTTTAAAAATGGCATTTTATTATAAAATGTTTATCACTTTGATTTTCATAAGAGCATGTTAGAAAGCACATGGACGTGTAAACTGAAAGCAAAAGTTGTGGGGTAGTTTTTAAACTGTGAACTCAGATGTTCTGATGTGCACAAGCTTAACTATGATTTGCAGCTGTTGTTGAGGAATGTTGTGCTGAGTGAAGGACAATTTACTGTTGTGGTACAGTACCTGTACTTATGTGAGAGGATATTTTGAAATTACAATGCGTTAATGGAATTTGGATAAACTTATCCACCAAATAAATGAGTAATTTATTACTCATTTATTAGTAATCAAGAGGTTGTGATAGAAACCACAGCCTGGGTATGTCCTACCAAAAACTGAATCTTAAAAATAGACTGTATGCTACAGTTCCTGCTGTAAAGGAGCTTCATAGTTATAAAGTGTGGCCTGACAAACAGCAATACATGTAAACACAATGGAAGAACAAAGAGAAAGATAGTATCTGATGTATTCAATGCTACTTAATTTACAACTAAAATGTTCTAATTTGCCGAATTGTGTTTTACCTGTTTGCATTTGTTAGCAAACCACATATCCCTCATATACATTGGAATACACTGCGTTTTGTAATGTTCTATGCTTGTTTATAAAGAGATATTAATATACAAATTAAATATTTTATTTATTAATAGGTATTTTGTTATTAGTTTGACAGCTATATGTATGATTTATATATGATTCCCTTGTGTTGTGCCCTAGTCTTCTGGGGCAGGTTTCAGATTTCTCTTACTCTGACCATGTGTGTTTTTTTTATCAATTTAAATTTGACCGTTATACCCATCCAGTGTTAGGATGAAGAAGTGTAGGCAGACCTTGAGCCATTCGTCTTTTAACATGTCACAGGGAACAGCCTTTAAAGCCCAAGGCCCTGTGCTTGTCGAAGGAGGGGCCTAGATCTTCACGAACATCACTACCTGCCTGCAGGCACCTCAGGAGGCTACTGAGTTTTCTCTGCCAAACCAAGAGAACTCTTGACTGCCCTGTCTCTCTCACACCTGAAGAAGGCTCCACGGCCGAAACGTTGTTCTCTTTCTTCTTTTTTTCAGCATGGAATAAACCTATTACTTTTTTTAAGAGAACTCTAGCCAACTAATCAGCCAGTTGTATGCCACTGCTTGGGGAATCCCACTTAATGTCAGGCTTGAACCAGGCTCGAACCCGTGGTCATGATGCTTTACCTGTACTTGGGCAAGCATTTTTCCCAATATAGCCACCTGGCTTTTTTTCCATAAAACAGATTCCTTTTGTCTTCTACAGCTGGAGAACTGCAACTATGCGGTGGACCTGGGTAAAAAAGATGCTAAATTCTCCCTGGTGGGGATTGGTGGACAGGACCTGAACGATGGCAATCCTACTCTGACGTTGGCCGTGGTATGGCAGCTGATGAGGAGGTAAGGGGAATGATGCACCTCCTTGTCTGATATGCACAAAGATCCAGTGCTGTAAAGCAGATGGCTTTTATGAGAAAAAACAAAGGTCTCTGGCAATTAAAGGTGTTATATTGTATTATATTGTGTTCTATAGTGTGTTAAGCCGATAATTTAATGTCAGAGAGAGGAAACACCTTTAACTGCAAAAGTCCTTTGCTCTTTCTTGTTCTATGTAATTATGATTAAATCAATCATAATTAATGTAATATATACAGTACTGTCTCAGCTGAGACTGGAATTGCAAGTTCAAGAATAAAATGTGGTTTATATGTTTTGTATAAAGCTTTTATTTCCAAAAAAAAGTCAAAACAATTGGGCACCTAAAATGATAAAACAAAAAATATTATGCGTCTATTTACCATTATAATATGTGGTTTGTATTGTTCTATCTTCTCATTGTGTTTTTTTATTAAATAGCTGAGGTCCCTAACTGAATTCCTGGAGAACATGGTGTGTTCTGGAGTTTGTTCCTACTTGAATAAGCCTACAAAAATGACCTAATAACAGTTATACATATAAATTGTCTTACAGTTTCCTGTAAAGCAGTTTTTATTATAGTTATTTAGATTCATACATAAGTGGAGCAACTGCACAAATAACTGTTGGGGTGTAACATGAAGTTGTTCACATCAGGGTATTCAGGAACTGAGTTTGAGACACCTGCTTCATAGTTTTTAGTATTCACGGCATAACACTCATTTATCAGCACTCACCCCTTTTACAATTGAACTCTTTAAAACAACGATTCTCCAAAGAAAATGTGCAAAATGGTTAAATAGAATATTTCAAGAGAAATTAAGACTTCAGTGTGTTGTTTTGAAGTTAATATGCAGATGTGCAATGTTTAATCAAGTCCATTTTTTTATTTTTTATTTTGTTTGGAATTGTTAGTTTAAGCAGGAACACTACTGAAAACAGTTAAAAGTGACATCATTATCATCCTTTATTAGTTATGGATCACAGTTTACGACTATGACTGGGGGCATGCTTCATGAACCTCCTTAATTATTGCTTTAATCAGATTCTAAAATTATAAAAGTGGGTCTTGGAGCATGTGCCTACTACTGGAAGTTCAGTTGCACTCAGCCAACTGAGTGCAACTGAAAAACTACCTCAGCTATTTTGTACTGACTTAATAAAAAATTATTAAGAGTTATGTCAATATATTAGTGTTGGTGCTGGTTGTGATAAAGGAGGGCCAGGTCAGGGTCTTCTCTTAATAACCTAATGAGCTAATCATTAGTTTACCAATTTAACACTTTACAAAAGTGAACTGGTGATCATTTAAAGAGAACTAGAAACCTGCTAGATTCTGGCCCTGGAGGGCTAGAGGTGTTCACTCCTGCTCACTCCTTAGTGTGATTTACCTTTAAATTGTATCAAAATGAAGTTATAACAGCTCTTCTGGAGCTTCTCCAGAAGTCATAACGTCTGGTTAAAAATCTAAATGCAAAACATTTTCTTGTTGATTCTTGATCTCTAGGTACACACTTAATGTATTGGAACACTTGGGAGATGGAGAGAAGGCCACAGATGAAATCATTGTTAAGTGGGTCAATAAGGCACTATCGGAGGCTGGCAAGAAAACCAAAATCCAGAGCTTCAAGGTCGGTTTCCAGATTCTTGAAAAAGTTGCATCTTTTGCTGTCCATTTGTAATGCACCGGTATTACTTAGGAGGTCCAATTTATAAGTTATAACAGCTGTTGTAAGCTAGTCAGGACTAATGTATTTGCATTTCAAAATTATTAAAAATACTACAAAGTAAAACAAAAACCTTGTGCAATGAAAACTCTCCGCAATAATATGGATTTGTTTTTTTTACTGCTCCTCAGAATTGATATCTAGTTTACTGCCTTAATGGAATAACTTCAAAAATCTCACTGCCTAGGCTTTTCTTATCTAGAGCATTTATATCTCCACAGTAGAAAGTAGCTTACTGCACAAGTAGTGAAAAGAGAAGCCGTGTACATAGAAAAGCTTTTAATCCAGTCCATCATATTTACAGAGACCATATACCCAGGCAGTGGTTTATATCAGATCAACACTATTGTCTAAAATATTTAGGATGTCATGTACAGTAACAGCAACTGTCCAAGGGCAACATGGGACCAAAAGCAATATGTTTAAACTGTACTTTATTTTTAGGACAAAGAAATTAGTTCCAGTTTGCCCGTTTTGGACTTGATTGATGCCATCCAACCCAGCTCAATCAATTATGATTTGGTAAAGACGGGGAGTCTTTCGGAAGAGGACAAACTGGAAAATGCCAAGTAAGTGTGTTAGAGAAGGAAGCTCAACCTATCACTTTATGCAGCTTTACATTTTTAACTGCATTTCTTTTCAACAAAGTCTGCAGAAGAGAGTTGATTCCCTGAGCTTCCCTGCTTCGTTGTAAGGCTTATTTTGCAGGGGGTTTTCACAATTTTGCGCTTTAAAATCTTCATGATGCATGATAAAATGTTAAAGCATTTGTTCCATCATTTGAATGATAGTAAAATATCACTGAGTGACTCCAGTGTGTGGTGATGCACAGAGATTGTGTCAGAGAAAGCTGTATAAATGTAATGATCAAATATTTATTAGTCCAAGCCATGGCCTCCATACTTAACCTGTCCTCTTGGTGTAGGTACGCTATCTCCATGGCCCGGAAAATTGGAGCCCGAGTTTATGCCCTCCCTGAAGACCTAGTGGAGGTGAAGCCCAAGATGGTCATGACAGTCTTCGCCTGCTTGATGGGAAGAGGAATGAAGAAAGTGTAACGCTGCCACCCTGGTGCTGCAAAGCAAACGTCTTGCCCACAAGCCATTTTGCTGGTTAAAAGGCTTTTGGTTAAAGGATTTAATACAGCCATCATTTGAAATATCACTACATTTCTAAACAGTTTTGCTTAGCAAGACAGCATTGTAATAAGGGTTCTTCGAGGTTAGAAGCCCTCCCCTCTCTTTTCCCACTCCAATGGTTTGATTTGCTAAGGTACACATTGAAATGCATTCATATCTTATGACCCAAATGTCCATGTGTTGGTTTAAGCCATGGAAGGGAACTTGTGTGTTTTAGAATTTGCATATTAATCTGGGTAACATTTTCGAGGGGAGGTTTATAGTTTTGCAGTCGCAATCTGAAAGGTTTGGGGTTGTTTTATTAGACTATACATCTCGATCAAATTATTTGGAACTTAAACAGGGCTCACTGAATGCAGTATTGCTGTTATGCAGTGCTTTCTTTTGTACCATTCAAATGAATGCTTATTTTCTTATTTTTTATACTTGTATACCAAAAACAAAGTACATCCATAAATCCATTCCAGGTAGAAGCTTTAATACATTCCACAGTTATGAACGCATTTTAGTATGTGTCTTGCATATCTGTATACTCAGACATGCTTTTTACATTAAAAATTTAAGAGATATAGAACTATGCATGAAAAACTCAGCATTTTTATTTAAATCATTATCCATTCTGAAAAAAAGCTTTTATGGCAGGAGAAATACCATATGTCCAGAAGATGGGGAGTGAGAAATTTGTTGAAGTTGTACTGTTAAGGGTCAAGGTTATTTTTACAGCTTGAAAGAGGTGCTGTCACCACTGGTTCACAGAATTAAACTTTGTTGAGAAATAATTAAAGGTTGTGGCTGTATTATGCTTTGTAATTTCTGGATAAAAGTTTATTGAATAAAAACTTCATTGTAACAAAACCTGTAACTTGGTGACAACTCGTTAACTAGAATAAATCTATTTCCAGCAGATAACTTGTCCGTTTCAATTAATTTTGGTACAGTATACTTGTTCAAAATGTGTATTTAATCAAGAAAAAGCATAAGCAGTCGAAATGAAGCAATAAAAAACTGATGGAGACTTTGGTGTGCATTGTGATTCACAAAATCCCTAAATCTTTATGTTGTGGGTGTTCTCCACTCTCATTATCTTTGAATAATTTGCCCACTGTGCATGTGAACAGACAGAAAAGATTTTGTGGATGCTAGATTTACTTATACTCCTCTGTACATTGATTTATTCAATCACACATCAACTTGGTTCAAAATTCACGATAATACATGGGTATACATATTTTGGGAATCTTGTAGTACTAAAATAAAATGTTCAAATTTGTAGTGTTTTGTGCAGCTAAACTTTCCAGGTTAACGCATAAAAGAAGGTGAAAGAAACTAAACTGGTCATTGTGATCATCACATGAAACGTGATTTCTTATTCAAAACTTTTTTTAACAAAGCAAACATTTAGGAACTTGTTAGGATTGTTAAACCATATATAAAACAATGTCAATTATGATCAGAGCCAACTGGTGGCAAATTCATATTTTCACCCACTGAAACAATCATTTTTTCAAATTATTTGGTCACTTTGTGACTTGATCCTACAAGTATGAAGCACACTAACCATTGGCTAGAGCATGATATGTTACCACCTCAAGTCAGTGTTGATTCTTAACAACACTCTTTATCTGTTTACAGACAGAACTCCCACATCACAGGAGCTGTGTTTGATGCTTCAAGGAAATCTTGTCATTGTATCAAATTTTTCACGAGTGCTCTAAAAGGTCAAAGCAGGCCTGGCTGAAAATTCAGGGTGCCGATTGATCAGAGGTTAGCAGTGAGTCGATTAGATGAGCAAAAAAAAAAGGCTGTAAAAAGACCAGGAAATTCATAGAATAATGGACTGATTATTCTGGTGATCTTGTACCGTGATGTGTACATCCAAACTATATAACTGGATTATGCCTAGTAGTAGCTTTACCAGTCTGGAGTGCACAACAAAAACGGCACCCAAGTCAGTTTTTTAAGGATTTTGAGTTTAGTTCTCTAAACATAAGTTATGAAGCATTAAAAATCTCTAGGCCCTGGAACCCTTTAGATAGTCCTACTAGAGTTTTTCCACCCGTCAAGCCACAGTACACTTTATTCTAGATATGCAATATTTGTTTCAGCACCAGAACAATGTGGACAAAAAACTGCTGAAGGAAGCTAAATTAACTTATACTCTTGGTGTGGTATTGTTTTTATTTTTGAATATTTGCGGACATAAAGCTGAGTTGGCCTGCAGTGGGTTGTGGTCCAAAACTCTCATAATTATCTTTACATCAGGAAACATGAAAGTCTTATTCTCACTAAATCATTTTAGACAATAAAATCACTTTATCAGCCATATACAATTTATTGAATTAGGAATTTGTCTTTTTTCACATGTCCCAACTTGCTTTCCATTAGACACACAGACAGGGAGAGAAGCTTGGGGTCAGAGTGCAGGGTCAGCCATTTATACAGTGCCCCTGCAGTAGATGGGGTTAAGGACCCTACTCATGGGCCCAACAGAGTAGGATTCCTCTGCCAGCTACGGGATACAAACCAACAACCTTCCAGCCACAGGCACAGAACTTTAGCCACAGAGCCACTGCACCGCCCGTGTAGTGTCCCACGAATTCATTGGTAAAGGTTGTCACGTCAGTCATAGTAACAACACTCATCAAGCAGCAGTTCTTGGGCAAAAAAAAAAAATTGGTTCCGACAGAATTAAAATGATATTTTCGGAAGTACAGTTAAGGCACATTGTGCAGGAGATGCCCATGTTCATTTCCAGGCTGGAATATCTTTTGTCAAAGTACTTCAGTTTCTTCTCACAGTCCATACGAATACATACTCTCTGATTCAACCCTAATTTGCACACATGTATGAATGAAGAATGGCACAGTGGCACTGTGGTTACATTGCTGGGTCCCTGGGTTCATTTCCTGGGGTGCTCTCTGTGTGGAGTCTGTATGTTCTCCCTATGTTCAAACTCTGGTTTCTCCCCACAATCCAAAGACTTACTTGTAGGTTGATTGGCTTCTTAGAATATTATCCCTGGTGTGAGTGTGTGTTTGTGTCAGTGTGTGCTTTGCAATGGACTGGCATCCCACTCAGGGTGTATCCTGCCTTGCAGCCTTTGCTCCAGCTCCTTTGCAACCCTATATTGGATAAAACAGTTAGCAAAAGGATGGATATAAAAGCATATGGGGATGCTCTGTGATAGATTGGTGTCTGGTCCAAATTGTAGTTATGCCATGAACCCTTTTTCTGTTGGGTTAGGCTTTGATTCAAAGCAGTTATGGAAAATGGATGGATATAAATACAGAACCACAATGCTTCCAATTATAATACATGTATTTAGGATTGGACATTCTGCAAATCCTTTTTTATGCAAAATTGTGAGTTTACAAAGGGACTACGAATTAGAAAATCAAAGTTTTTTTCCATAACAATGTGTAGAAAATGGAGGGAAGATAACTTTTAAAAGGATGTATAGGACAAATGTTTGATAAAGTACAAGTCAAGAGAGCAAAGGAAATAATAAAAAAGTAGAAAACAAACATTAGACAAGTTTTTGTGAGAGGAGACCACATGCCCGCCTTTTCTCTTTAAACTAATGTATATTTTAACAAGCCTTACTCATTACAGTAGTTACAAAAATGTACTATAAATACACCAGTTAAAACAAATCTAATCAAATACTTCAATTGACACAACATAGGCATATGACACTGTTCAGAAAGAAATTGAGTTACTATTCACTTGTTTTGCAATGGCAATAAAATGATTTGAGTGGACTATGATGTGGAATTTTTTACACACAAAAAACACATTCACTGAGTGAAACCAAAATGTTCTTATGGGTGCACACGCTTGGAGAAACTAAACTCCACAGTAAATTCTCCAGCAAATGTTATTAACTGACATCTAATTTCTGCATAAACTGTTGTTTTAATGTGATCATATTTGTTTTCGTGTAAGGACGGTAAATCAATATTGGGGACAATGGCTGCTTAATTAAAAAAAAACATATTAACGATCTTATGGGAGAAATGTACTTGTATTCATAAGTTTAGCTCGCTTACAATCTGCATGTCAAACATTAAAGATACGACATATTATTACAGTTTTTATTTCCCTTTTTGTACGTTGAAACGGGACTTTCATTTTTGTTCTGAAAACATTCCCCCAGTCAACCTTTCGCGGTGCATCCTGGGAAGCTGAGTTTGCTTGGCAGTCATTGGTTGGCGAATAGCGTGATGTCACGTTACGGCGTACAAGGTACATTTTGGACAACTCAACATGGCGGATCAATAACAAAATCTCTGGTGCGGTGGCAACATTTGAGTAATATATCTGTAAGTTCCACATCAGTCTTTTATCCTGGTGATATGCTATCGTGAGTCGGTGACACCTGAGGTATATATATTTTAGACTGAAGCGCAGTAACCAGCATTGATAAGTGTATTTTAGCCCAGTGCCTTCTGAATTACAAAAAGGGTGGGGGCGCGCTAATGAAAATGTAGACTAGCTGCGTTTGCAAGCAGACGGTTTTATTTAACTGCCAGATGGCTTTTTAATTAATAACCTACTGTAGGGCGAAATGCATGAAGGAACTGCACTCAATCGTACTCGGATGCAGTTCTCCTTATTACTTCTGTACTGGTCGACTGCAGCATACATTTAGTAGAACTGAAAAAAGTCCAAGTGGTATGCGACACGTCGTGGGGTCTGCCGTGAAAACCACGCTGTAGTTTTTTTCTGTATTTTAGGTGCTAGTTTCACGTTCCGAGTGCTTCCGGTTTGTTGTACCACAGGGAAGCTATTCAGTAGCGTCGATGTGGTTTGAAAATGCAGTGTTTACAGTGGAGTTGAGAACAATCAATAGGGTATCGTTCACAAATGGCGCCGTTGAATCCTGACCAAGGATATTCTATTTAACGAATGGAAAACGAGTTTATACACTACTTTATTGGGTCTTTTGTTATTATGTAAGTGATCGCAAGTAAACCTACTGGCCATCATCAATAAACGTATTGGTAAATATCTTTTTTTGACCGGTGTTGATATCGCAGCGTTTTAACACATGTATATAGTGTGTGGTAACAATGTGTTGTATATTGTTGGTACTCTACGTAAAACATTAAGAGAACCCAGTCTTTTTAACTAGTTGCAAGGTTTTAAGACGTGATTATTTTTTACTCATTTTCATTTTTTGGAGATTTATATGAGGCGTTCTCCAGGTGTCTGCGTCTTCTCCAGGACATTCACTCCCACAGACATGCTGTCTGGAATAACTGGTGTCTCTGAATTGACGCCTTGTGTCTCTGTGCCCTGCAGTGGTCTGGAGTCCCATCTAGGTTCTGCTCCCCATGTTCTCAATAAAATGTTACATATACATTTATGCTTCCCTTGTTTGATTCTTTTCCTGTGCTGTTCATTAGTACAGTACTCCAGTTCTCTTTTTAACCTAATATATCTTCTGTGTGCTAAAATTAAACCGTTACTTCATAATAATCATCAAACGTTTCCACCAAGCATGGACAAGCTGGAGTTTTTTTAATATACAATATTAAATATCCTTCTCTCAGCTCTTTACCTTCCAGATATTACTGATTAATATGTCTGTCCTTTTTGTTTTTGCAGTGGAAAAATGACTGACAGAAAGGTGAAAACTTTAGGAGCCAAAAGGCCACTAAGTAAGAAGGAACAAGAGGAACTGAAGAAAAAGGTATGTTTCATTCAACTTGACTATCCAGCACAGGATCTGCAACCTTTAAGCCAACTACCTCTTTTGTAGTGACAAAAACTGCAAAATTGGTGCCACAGGGGCATGTGTGACCCTTTAGCTACATTCAAAGAGAACTTTAGAATTGCTTATACAGTAATTGAGGGTAATGCTTTTTGAAATTTGAATTTGAAGGCCCTAATTTTCCATCTAGGCGACTGGATCAATTTGTTTAATTTTGTATGCATGTGAGTCTGTAGGAATATTGCCTACAGGGAGAATCAAGACCATTGCTTTTAACAGCTACTGTTATGTTTAGCAACAATGTTGAATGTACGGGGTTCAATTAGTTTGCTGTTTACTAGAAAAGAGGTGTACATTCAAATAAGTGAGACTGTCATATCCGCTGGTTTATAATACATTACATTATAATACATAATACAATTTAGAGCTCATACTGACAATTTTCAGTCATTCAAAGGCAGTTTATTCAACTTATGCAGCACTAATTCCTGCTTGTGCATCAGCTAGGCTATCAAAGTGTGTGAAATGTGAAATCTTTAACATATTATTGTCACTCACTGCAGCAAGTGTAATGTGGACTGTTCCTTTCCATTGCAGGAGGAGGAGAAAGCAGCTGAAGTTTTTGAAGAGTTTTTAGCATCATTTGACAGCAATGATAAAAGTGGTGTCAAGACCTTTGTGCGAGGTGGCATTGTAAATGCAACTAAAGGTACGTGGTTCACAAACTGTAGTTAACCAGGTATCGTTTTCAGTATCGTTTTGTAGACCATCTACTCTTTGGGAGGATCAGT